TTCTCTCTCTTGGTGGTGATCCTTTGCTTCTTCTTTTTGGAGAATCTTCTCTTCTCTTGTAGGGAGCCGTACACTCGTTGGAATAGTGTCCGGGTCTTCCACAAATGTAACAGTTTCTCTCTCGACTAGAAGATCTTTTGTCATTGTAGGACCTTGACTTGGAGCTTCTATCTTTGCTCCTACTCTTGTAGAACTTGTTGAAGTTCTTCACCATTAAGCTCAATTCTTCATTGAAGTCTTGTTTCTCACTTGATGATGTAGGGGCTTCACATGAGGCTTTATAGGCACCACTTGACTTGTTGTGAAGTTCCTCTTTATCCTTAAGTGACATCTCATGAGCAACAATTCTTCCAATCACTTCCATTGGCTTGAGATCTTTGTAATTGGGCATCATTTGGATCAATGTGCACATGGTATCATATTTTCCATCCAAGGCTCATAGGTTCTTCTTGATGATGAATCTATCGGTCATCTCTTCACTTCCTAAGCCGGCAATCTCATTTGTGATGAGAGCAAGCCTAGAGTACATTTCAGCGACACCTTCACCATCCTTCATCTTGAACTTGTCAAGTTGGCTTTGAAGCACATCCAACTTGGATTCCTTGACGGAGTCGGTACCTTCGTGCATATCAATCAAAGTGTCCCAAATTTCCTTTGCATTCTCAAGGCGGCTGATTTTGTTGAATTCTTCTGGGCATAATCCGTTGAAGAGAATATCACAAGCTTGAGCATTGTATTGCAACATCTTCAACTCATCTGCGGTAGCTTCACGGTTTGGTTCTCTCCCATCAAAGAAGTCACCTTGCAAACCAACACACACAATAGCCCAAACAGCAGGGTTATGTCCAAGAATATGCATTTTCATTTTATGCTTACAACTAGCAAAATTAGTACCATCAAAGTAAGGACCTCTACGGTGATAATTTCCCTCACTAGACGCCATACTCTCCTAGGTTGTGAAACCAAGGCTATGACCACCAAAAGCTATGGAGATCAAGCAAATGGAGACCAAAGCTCTGATACCACTTGTGGGATCGAAAGTATGTCTAGAGGGGGGTGATTAGACTACTTGACCAATTAAAAACTTAACCTTTTCCCAATTTTAGTTCTTGGCAGATTTTAGCTATTTTAGGACAAGTCAAGCAATCATCACACAATTCAAGCAAGCATGCAAAGAGTTTATGGGCAGCGGAAAGTAAAGCATGCAACTTGCAAGAGTATAAAGGGAAGGGTTTGGAGAAGTCAAACGCTATTGGAGACACGGATGTTTTTCCCGTGGTTCGGATAGGTGGTGCTATCCTACATCCACGTTGATGGAGACTTCAACCCACGAAGGGTAACGGTTGCGCGAGTCCACACAGGGCTCCACCCAAGGGCAACGGTTGCGCGAGTCCACGAAGGGCTCCACCCACGAAGGGTCCACGAAGAAGCAACCACCCACAAAGGGTCCACGAAGAAGCAACCTTGTCTATCCCACCATGGCCATCGCCCACGAAGGACTTGCCTCACTAGCGGTAGATCTTCACGAAGTAGGCGATCTCCTTGCCCTTACAAACTCCTTGGTTCAACTCCACAATCTTGTCGGAGGCTCCCAAGTGACACCTAGCCAACCTAGGAGACACCACTCTCCAAGAAGTAACAAATGGTGTGTAGGTAATGAACTCCTTGCTCTTGTGCTTCAAATGATAGTCTCCCCAACACTCAACTCTCTCTCATAGGATTTGGATTTGGTGGAAAGAAGATTTTGAGTGGAAAGCAACTTGGGAAGGCTAGAGATCAAGATTCATATGGTAGGAATGGAATGTCTTGATCTCAACACATGAGTAGGTGGTTCTCTCTCAGAACATATGAGTTGGAATGGTGTGTGTGTTCTGATGGCTCTCTCACTGAATGAGAAAGAGGTGGAGGGGTATATATATAGCCTCCACACAAAACCCAACCGTTACACACAATTTACCAATCTCGGTGGGACCGAATCAGAAAACTCGGTCTGACCGAAATAGTAAACCTAGTGACCGTTAGGAATTTCGGTGGGACTGACATGCAACTCGGTAGGACCGATTCTGTTAGGGTTTGGGCATAACGTAATCTCGGTGAGACCGATTACACAAACTCGGTGAGACCGAATTTGGTAATTAGCTAACCAGAGAGTTGGTCAGGCAAACTCGGTGGGACCAATTTGCTCTTTCGGTGAGACCGAGTGGAACTCGGTGGGACCGAAAAGTTACAAAGGGGAAACACTGAGTTTACATTGCAATCTTGGTGGGACCGATTCGCTCTTTCGGTGGGACCAAAAAGTTACGAAAGGGAAACAGAGAGTTTGCAACCCCATCTCGATGGGACCGAGATCCTTATCGGTAGAACTGAATTGCTAGGGTTTGGTAGTGGCTAATGACAAGTGAAACTCGGTGGCGCCGGATAGGAAGAATCGGTAGGACCGAGTTTGGCTTAGAGTTCAGGTCATATGTGGATATGGGAAAGTAATTGAGGGTTTTTGGAGCATATCACTAAGCACATGAAGCAAGAGGCTCATTAAGCAACACCTCATCCCTTCTTAATAGTATTGGCTTTTCCTATGGACTCAATGTGATCTTGGATCACTAAAATATAAAATGAAGAGTCTTGAGCTTTTGAGCTTGAGTCAATCCATTGTCCTTAGCATTTTGACGGTTCCACTTTCACATCCATGCCATGCCAATCATTGAGCTTTCCTAAAATAATTATCTTGGAATAGTATTAGCTCAATGAGCTATATGTTGTTATGAATTACCAAAACCACCTAGGGATAGTTGCACTTTCATACGGGCATCTCCAAGATTAGGTGAGGATGTGATTGCATGGGGGCCGGGGAAGCTCGGCGTCTTCACGGTCAAATCAGCATATATGCTGGCTTTTGAAGTAGCTCACAGAAATACTGCAGAGGCGTCTAGCACATCGCCAGATGGTAGTAGAAAATGCTGGCAATATATATGGAGATGTGATGTACCCCCCACTGTGCGCAATTTTGCTTGGAGATTGACTACTGACTCTTTGCCGACATGGAGGAATAAACACAAGATTGGACTGGAGCTTTCAAGTAGATGTCCAGTTTGTGGTATGGAAGAGGAGGACAATTTCCACCCGTTTGTGAGATGCCAATACGGACGTGATCTTTATCTAGCCATGGCCGAGATTTGGATTTTACCATTCCTTGATTCCCTGTTGCCTGTTGGTAAGGAATGGCTGCTTCACGTACTTGCCCCTTTGAACGAATTCAGAGAAGTATGCTACTGTTAATTTTTTGGAGAAGCTGGTTCATTCGGAATGAGATAGTACATCATAGACCTGCTCCTCCCATGGAAGTATCAGCAAGGTTTCTTCAGAATTACTTGGATGCTCTAATTGGCATCAAACTGAACTCACGCTTTGATCCAGCAAAGGGGAAGTGCAGCATATCCTATGATCTAAAGTCTAGGTCCGTTGTTGAGCACCCCATGAATGGCGATACACCTTGGAGGCCGCCCCAGCTTGGCTGGGTGAAGCTTAACACGGATGGGTCTTACTCGTTCGCTGGTGGTGCGGGTGCTGGAATGATCTTGCGAGATAACTCAGGAGCCATAATATTCTCATCATGCAGGGCCTTGTTCTCGTGTAGAGACGCTCTGGGGGCGGAGTTATGTGCATGTATGGAAGGCTTATCTTTCGCAATTCAACGCTCCAATCTTCCAATTGCCATTGAGATGGACTCGACTACAACCATGGCTATTATTTCATGCGGCGAGGTGGATCGCTCAGTTTATGCTTCTTTGGTTAGTGAAATTAAATTCTTGTTGAGTCTTAGGCAGACTTGTATTACTCATGAGCGAGTGATAGACTAGCTAGTTTTGCTAGAGTAGAAGGTCGTACTATGACTTGGGTCGGTTCAGGCCCGGATGATGTTTTGAAGTTGGTCCTTGATGATTGTAAGGACTTGGTGAATGAGTAATACAAGTATTATTCCTGCAAAAAAAAAGGGGGATAGTGCATAGATCACTGGCAAGATGCCCATGATGTACGGACGCACGCTGCGCTGCTTCCAACTTCGCTCGGGAAATTCGGGTCACGCAGGAGTATATGGGGCCTACATCTCACAGTTTTCTTTACCAAGTCCTTACAGCTTTGACTCTGTCTCTCTTTTTATGTAACGTAGGAGTATTTACTTTCCTACAAAGAACGTAGGAATATTTACTTGTACGTGTCCTTTTCGTTTTTCAAGCCAACATGCACGTCCTTTCTTTTGCTGGGAACTGAGATGTGAACTCTTTTTTCTAACTTGTACGTGGACTCCTTTTGGAACTTGTGGGGCCTGAGGACTTTCATTGTACGTGTCATTTTTCCATCACGGAAGGGAGACCCTTTTTTCTTTGAAATTGGACGTCGACTCCTTTTGAACGTGGGGCTTGAGGACTTGACATGTACGTGTCATTTTTTTCACACGAAAAGGAGAAAGCACGTACTTCCTCCGTTCCTAAATATGTCCTTTTAAAGATTTCACAATAGACTACATACGGATGTATATAGATGAAGTTTGGAGTATAGATTCACTCATTTTGCTCCGTATGTAGTCTATATTGAAAAATCTAAAAAGACTTATATTTAGGAACGGAGGGAGTAGAATTTTACCTACGTGATGTTTTTATTTAGTATTAAAAATATTGAAGGGTCTTCTAATAGATCTTGACCATTAAATTATAAACCTAATGGCTAAATTAATCTTAATGATGTGGATTAATGTGAACACTCAAAAGGTGCATATCCAGTCAGTAGATAGAACGAAAGATAGAAGATATATATGTATGGTCATCTTTTATTCATTAGTGAACCACCATATAACAAAGGGCGTTACGAGCGTACAGAGCACAACACAGTAGAAGACATAGTGGAGTAGATGACACGGCATACATATGCATGCACCTCGGTGCAGATGGACAATAGTTAAGTAATGGATCATTGCCGGCGACATGGCCGGGGAAGTTGATCCCCTACATGCCGATGCACTTCTCTTTGACTATGTACTTGATGAAGCAGGCAGCGAACCTCGCGGGGCGGAAATCAAAGCACGCCTGGAAGGTGTCGACGAGGCATGCCTGACATATGTCGCAGCAGCCTGCGATCTCCATCAGGCGAAGATCCTCTCGAAGCTGCATGGAGGCACCGGCGGCACCGGCAGTAGTGGCACCGGCGGCGCCTGCAGCAGTGGCCCCAACGGATGAGGCCGGCAGGGCCAGCAGCCCGAAGGACATGATGCCTAGCACCAAGACAAAGGAGCAAGTGGAGGCCATGTTGCTAGGAAGGTGCAAGAAGGCGTGTTGTGTTTGTTTTGCTGTTTTGCATATGGATGGACTTGAACGCCTTCGTGCGTGCACTATTTATAGTTGGGCAGCCTGCTGGATCCAGTACGTAGCTAATACTAGTAGCTGTACAGAAGAACCATGTTATTCTACTGACGTGAATGGGTACGTATGCACGCATATCCACTGGTTTGTAGTGTACTGTACACAGGGAAAAGAAGGAATAAATACTCCCTCCGTTCCGAAATGTAAGTCTTTTTAGAGATTGCAATAAGAGACTACATACGAAGCAAAATGAGTGAATCTACACTCTAAAATATGTATATATGCATCCGTATGTAGTCTATAGTGAAATCTCTAAAAAAACTTATATTTAGGAACGGAGGGAGTATATTGCATTGCATTGCATGCATGCTATAGGCCCTCATGCGTACGTAGAGATGGAAGGAGAGCACACGATATCTACCCTTAATGCCGGCAACTAGTTTGGCGCGGATCCACCAACCCTAAGCCGTAGACTGTGCATGTGCCTCGTGTGGACAGCCCCATGCTGTCCTATCTCGTCCTATAATACATAGAAGCTTGACAATACTTGTGAGCGAGTGAAGTGCGGTGAGCATGTTTCATGCATCACATGTGTGACATGCACATCGACACCAAGAGTCGGGAGTTAAGGAGATATTTGTCCAATTGATCCCATATGCTAAAGATGAGAAGGTTAATTAGCCGCACGAACGAAATGCAGTGTAACTACTTGCCTAGTTAAATGAACTAGTCATCAACCCGTGCGCCCGCACGGTCTAGTGATTTTCGAAACACGAATGTACAATACTCTATACTATACTATGAGTTCGAAATATATCAGAACTTGGACTGGAATCTTCAATATGTCCCAACTAATCATTATACGCCATATATAGAAATATGATTGACACTATGAGACGATACAATTGGAATTATAATATGGATTTTGAAGAAACGCTTAGAAGGAACCACATACCCAGTAGAGAAAAATGAGCATCACATTTAGAGGTCATGGGAATTAGAACCTAGTTAGATTGATTATTATGGAAGGAATAAAATTTAGGGAATATATGTAATAACCTAGTTAGACATATATTACCTAAGAAGGAAAAATGGAATCATGATTGGTTATTACATATGAGGAATGTATATACTTCTCTTCAACTTGAAGGACTTGGATAAGTCAAATCATTATCATGCTACTGCACATTTGTTATGATTATTAGGTCCAAAATTATTAGAATATACTAAAAGTTAGGTGCACGCTTTCATCGACCTAAAAGCAGAATGAAGTACCACGAACGACATGTCTCTAAAACCCCCGTCGGAATCCTGTTTTCGACCAAAATTTAGCTCTCTAAGTTATGTTTTTTATAAGTTAACACATGCATGATTGATCAATCTCACCCACCACGTATTCTGCACATCGCAACTACCTTCCTACACCTGAAAGGAATATCATTGCAATATTCATGCTCCAAAACCCTTAGTAGCAAAGTGTTGGAAAATTACAGAAATAACAACAGAAAAACTAATGCGAGAAGCAGATGCTCCCATAACATGATTTCTTTTCTTGATTGCGAAGTTCTGATATGCTGACATCTTCACATTGTAGTAGATTTGCACTATTTCAATACTTAAACAAATTTAGATTAAAAAAATGTACCTCATGAGATACCTAATATGTGATACTCATTTCTGTTGTGGTACCTAATATGTGATACTCATTTCTGTTGTGGTACCTAATATGTGATACTCATTCTTCTCTAACATCATTAATGCCTAAAGTGGGCGTGGTTGAAATTATAAAGGATTTCAAATCCTGAGTAGCGAATTATAATCTTGCGTAATCTTATTTTTCTGGTAAGTCATTATTTGTTGGCTACAACTAACAAATGATTAAAGAAACAATTGTCTTGCAAACTATTAACTAAGCACTCTTGTTAATAGGGCGGGAGAATGTACTAAATCATGTCAGGTTGTTTCTCACACAAAGTGACACACCGTGCAGCCCACAAAAGTTGCACATGTAGAGCAAAGTATGGCTAAAACGAAAAGGAGCATATACTTGGAACTTGAGCTGATTTTCGCCCAAACTTCCTGTTGTACTGTTTGATCAGAATTTTTTCTCTCATTGTGTAGATGCCTCACTGCAGCCCATGATTGCCAGAACCATGCCTTTTTCTCCTTGAGACAGGGGCAACAGGTTATTGACGACCAATGGATGGGGGTCACCAAGATCAAAACCATCAAACATCAAAGGACTACGTTTGTACCTGAGAAGGAGAAACACTCTTACCCGTCTGATTGAAAAGCTGCGAGCAGGCACTTACCATAAAACACCAAAGAAGTACGTTTATACCTGAGAAGGAGCCGAGTACAGATCTCAGGCAACCCTACAGTTCATGGTTGCATCAGCTACGTGTTAGAGATGAAGCAAACTTTAGTTGGCGTGGCACACAATCCACACAACACTGATGCCATAGTTCTCCATCAGCCCAGGCAGCACTGCAGTTGATGGTTGCATGAAGTTTGTGTTGGAGACGAAGCAAATTAAACTGACTGTGGCACACAATCTAGACAACAGGGAGATGTCCTGGCTATCCATCGGCCGGTTGGAACTCGATCGTCGCCGCTAGATTGGGGGAAGGTTTTTGTTTTTTGTCTCTTTTAGAGAATATAATAGAAGCATATCAAGAAGTCAATATAGAGGGGACACCCATGTTCAGAATGCCATATAACTGGGTCGGTTGAATCCTGCATCATACATAACGAAGCATAAATTTTAGAAGGGCGCTATTCGTTTGAAACTTGTATCTAATTCAAGTTCTATAGTCAGAACAAAAACAACACAACAAAAAGCAAAATAAATATTACATACCTGCTAGTTTGTCTTCTCTTTCGATTCAATGCGGCGATCTATTTTCAATCAATGTTCTTGTAGATTTTTTTTACTTGGCCTAATGACCTATACCATATGAAATTGCCTGAGGCAGTGGAAACCTCCTAAATTTATCTCATGGATCGTGACACAAATCCTATTTTTTTTACTTGAGAAACAAAGTACCAACCACTGATTTGGTTTGTTAGAGACGGAAGTAACAGTAACAGTTAGCACTTGCTGCATAATATAGACAGAAATAAGAAGACATGAAGATAAAAAAACATGGCATTTTTATTTTCCACACAGAGCTACTTCTTAACAGTGTTGAGGAGGTGAACGGACCATGATGTTAACTTGAGCATCTTTTTAGATCTCCCATCTTTCTTCAAATAGATACTGCTAAGGTGTCATCTTCTTGACTTCTTGAACGCATAAACATTCCATGTCTGCAAATAACATATAAATAGGCTTGCAGACGACACTATAGATAAATAAAAATCACCAGAATAGAGTATTATTTGTGCTTCTATGATGGACATGGCCTACAGGATAATTACAGAAGCATAAAATTGTAAGTACAGATCCAAATCGAACCTGTAGTTTTTCCCAATAAGAAGCATAGAGGAGTAGACCAAAGAAAGTCCAAAACAACTCATCCAGTTTCTAAGAACATAAGAAGATGTGCTTGAGTTTGTTGTGCGAAAGTACAGCCACATCTTCAATGAATGGAATCCCTTAACTGGATTGTATGACACCTCAGCCAAGATGAACCGCAGGTCTGCAGCCTTCTTGTGGTAGTTGAAGTTTCTGCAGCAGGAGACTCATTAAGTCGCTTTACTTGAAGACCGTAGATAGGAAGCAGGGGGCAACCTAGAAGAGCAGCGCTAGGGATATGTGGAAACATCTTTAACAAACTGAATCCCCTAATTGAATTGTATGGCTCCTACAAATATTGTCCATCCTAGTTATACGTATTTAGATAAGTCTGTAACTAAGCGCACATCATCAAAATCCTCCAAAACGAACTCTAATGGTGTACTTGTTCTTTGAGATCAAGTCGCACTACATAAAAATTCCTAATAACAAAAACCTACTGGATCGTTGCTAGCTCCTTAATTACCTGCAATCAGTCTACCATAGTTCTTCGACTTGTAGCTTCCCCAACAATGGCATATGTCCGATCAGACTTAGGTAGCGCCTCCTTCTCAACAACATCGTTTATCATGGGTTGCGGTTTGGTTGGGGCATGGCATGTGTGGAGATTGAAAGGGCCTTCTCTTTGTCCAGGACGGACCACAGATCTGCAGCGTGGTTGGGACAGTTCAGATTTCTACGTGAAGATGAAGAGGATCACAAGGATCTCACGGAATCGTTTTGCATTAAGACAGCAAAAGATAGGAAGGAGGAGGACGACCTGGAAGAGCAGCACTAGGGATTTGTGGATGATGCGCAAGTGCCTCACATGATAGATCGGGGGAGGAAGAATTTGGCCAGGGAGATGATTTTTTTCACATTACATGGAGCATGACGTGGGATGGATTTGCGCTAGGGATTTGTGGATGATGCGCAAGTGCCTCACATGATAGATCGGGGGAGGAAGAATTTGGCCAGGGAGATGATTTTTTTCACATTACATGGAGCATGAAGTGGGATGGATTTGGCCAAGGAGATGATTTTCTTTCACATTACATGGAGCATGACGTGGGATAGTAACCCAGGACTCTTGAGTTGTCCAATGGACGGCTACAGATACTTAACCCAGGACTCTTGAGTTGTCCAGGACTCAACCGTATGTTCTTTTCACAGGCTTTCTCCCCCCTCAAGTACGTCTATCATTCGCGGCACACCTTCGACCAATCTGCTGTGTAGATGACTTGGGTCCAGCTCCTTAACCTACTTCGTGTCAGGCACTTCATCTGCTCATGTGTCCGGATCCACCTTATCCTATAGTCTTGGCATCACCATCCACAAAGAATCAAGGTCGCATATTCCCGACGTAAATGACGCGGGCCCGTCTCCTTACCCTTCGGTGTTGGAACTTCATGTGCCCATGCTTCGGTCCATGGTATCTTTCAGGTTCTCT